TTTGCTTCTTCTATTATCATGTTTAGGATATGCACTGGCTATTCTGTTGAATTTTCCTAATAAGCCTGTATAATTTGGTCTCTTGAGTACTTCTCTCTTCATAAACACCTTGGTGAGCCTTTTTGTTATCACTCTTGTTACTACTTTTCTAAATGTTTTGTTTAGAGCTATTGGACAGATGTTGTTTTAGCTATATCCTCACTTTATGTTCTTTAGTATTGGAAAACTTGTATGATTTTTCACTTGGTTGATATTTCTTCTATTTCTAAATAAAAATTGGTAAAGGCTCTAAAGATTTCTTGTATTTTTTTTCTTGCTCACTTGATTAGTGTGTAGCTTATACCAAATATACCTAAAGCTGTTTCTGCTTTAAAATGAAGTAAAATTACTAACCTTAAATTAACAAAGATCAATCTGTGTAAATTTATATTGTCTTAAATAACAATATATTTTATTTTAATTAACAAATATTTGAACATGTAATTTATATTTTTTCCTTCAAAAAGACCCTCAAGAATAAAAGATATAACTTTCATTATGTGTTTGTACTCTGATGCTATAAACAAAGCAAGATCTGCAAACCCAGTATTAAATATTTTTAGCTCTAGATAACATAATATCAATCTAAGTCTTTGATCTATTTTATTAACAATATCAGCAAATTTATAGGTGCAAAATATTTTGAAAGATTTTGCATAGCACAATAATTTTGAAATATTGCAAAATAAATTTCAAAATTTTTGCTAAATGCAAAATATTTCAAAATTTTTGCTTTATAGAAAATTTTTTAAAATATTTCGCATCTAACCTTTTATAATCTACATTGCAGCAATTTAGATGTGATCTTCAAATTTTTTTTATATTTTTTTTTTTATTTTTTTATTTTTTTTTTTTTTTTATTTTTTTTTTATTTTTTTATTTTTTATTTTTTTTTTATTTATTTTTTCTTTATTTTTTTATTTTTTATTTTTTTTTCTTTATTTTTTCTTTATTTTTTTTTTCTTTATTTTTTTTTGATCTTCAAATTTTCTTTCTTATTTTTTTTAATCTTATTTTTTTTTGATTTTTGAATTTTTTATTTATTATTTATTTTTTATTTATTTATTTTTCCTTTTTTATGTTTTTATTTTTTTTTACTAATGTTTTTTGAACCAGAAACTGGTGCCAAGATAAGTACCAGTTAACTTTATTTTGTTTTTCTTTTTTCTTTGATGTTACTAATGTTTTCTTTTTTATAGTCTTGTGCTTTGCTGGGAAGGGTTTATAAGGCTGGGATCGGGATCTTGAATCTGCAACTGGTACAAAGATAAGTACAAGTCGTTTTTTTTTTGTTTTTTCATTTTTTTTTGCTTTTACTAATACTAATTCTTGTTTTCTTTTTTTTTAAGTTTTGTGCTTTGCTGGAAAGGGTTAATGAGGGCTGGAATTAGGATCTTGAATCTAGAATTAGTACAAAGATAAGTATCAGTTCACTTTTTTTTTGTTTTTTTTTGTTTTTTTTGTCTTTTACTCATTATTGCTTTCTTTTTCTTTAGGTTTTGTGCTTTGCCAGGAAGGGTTAATGAAGGCCATAATTGGGATTTTGAATCTGCAACTGGTACAAAGATAAGTACCAATTCATTTTTTTTTTGTTTTTTCATTTTTTTTTGCTTTTACTAATACTAATTCTTGTTTTCTTTTTCTTTAGGTTTTGTGCTTTGCCAAGAAGAGTTAATAGAGGCCAGAATCGAAATCTTGAACCTAGAACTGGTACAAAGATAAGTACTAGTTCATTTTTTTTTTGTTTTTTTTTGTTTTTTTTTGTCTTTTACTAATTATTGCTTTCTTTTTCTTTAGGTTTTGTGCTTTACCAAGAAGGGTTAATAGAAGCTGGGATTGGGATCTTGAATTTGCAACTGGTACAAAGATAAGTACCAGTTCATTTTTTTCCATTTTTTTTTGCTTTTACTAATACTAATTCTTGTTTTCTTTTTCTTTAGATTTTGTGCTTCGTGGAAAGGATTAATGAGGCCAGGATCAGAATCTTGAACCTAAAACTAATACAAAGATAAGTATTAGTTTGCTTTTTTTTATTTTTTTTATTTTTTTTGTCTTTTACTAATACTAATTCTTGTTTTCTTTTTCTTTAAGTCTTGTGCTTCACCAAGAAGGGTTAATGAGAGCCAGGATTGGGATCTTGAACCTAGAACTAATACAAAGATAAATACCAGTTTGTTTTTTTTGTTTTTTTATTTTTTTTGTCTTTTACTAATACTAATTTTTGTTTTCTTTTTCTTTAGGTCTTGTGCTTTACTGAAAAGGGTTAAAGAGGACTGAGATCGGGATCTTGAACCTGAAACTGGTACAAAGTTAAGTACCAGTTCACTTTTTTTTGTTTTTTTTTATCTTTTTTTGTTTTTTACTAATTCTTGCTTTCTTTTTCTTTAGGTTTTGTGCTTCACTAAAAAGGGTTAATAGTGACCAGGATCAGGATCTTGAACTTGAAACTGGTATAAATTAAGTACCAGTTCACTTTTTTTGTTTTTTTTTGTTTTTTTTGTGTTGTTAGTAGGTATTGTTCTTTGCCAGAAAGGTTTAATAAAGACCAAAATATATAGAATAGTTTTTTTTATTATGTAATTATTATGTAATTATTATTTAATAAAAATTGAATAAAAAATTATATTTAATAAATAATAATTAAAAATTAAATAAATTAATAAATAGTTTTAAATTTTTTTTAATTTTGTAATAATAGAATTTTTGTTTATTTCACAATATTGTGAAATTTTTTTGATTATTTTGCATTATTGGTAAAATTTTCTGATTACAATATTTCATATTATTGTGAAAATTTTTTAATTATTTCATATTATTGCAAAAATTTTCTAATTATTTCACATTATTGCAAAAATTTGCTAATTATTTCACATTATTGTAAAAATTTGCTAATAATTTCGCAATATTGTGAAATTTTTTCAATTATTTCGCAATATTGCAAAATTTTTTTATTTCAAAAGAATTTCGTATCAATTGCAATTATTTTAAAAGATTTTCAGTATGCAAAATCTTTCGCAATATTTTATTTATATTTTTTGCTAATGAAGAGCAGCTTCACTGTGAACTTTCAAAAGATCTTGTGTAAACTTAACTATATATGAAAAGAGACCAAGATCTAAATGATGCATTTATTCAGAAACTGTTGCTATATAGACATTAAAATTTCTATTATATATGATAGTAATAAAATATCAACTATAAATTTAATACTATATGTTATTTAAATTATAATTATATGGCACATAATATTTCTAAATAATTGTTATCTTGAGATTAAAAAAAAAATAAATAAACAAATACTAAACCCTTACAAATAATTCTAAAAACTATTGGTTTCTTTATGTAATAAATAATCTTTGCCTTGTTCTATTGCAATAACTTGTCTCATTCAGTTTTTCGTTCAAACAATCTTATAATTAGTGAGCAAATTAATAGCATTTAGTTCATCTTTTTTTACAAAACAGATGTAACAAGGTTGTGCACAACTCATCTATTATAAGTTAAACATAATTTGCAGTTTTCAGGCCAGTCTTCAATAATAAATGTCAACATTATATTACATCTTATATTATAACTATTAACCTTTAATAATACATCAGAGTGATACTAAGAATATAATGGCTTAATTAAGATGTTAATATATTTGTAAAAAATCAATCTAATTAATTGTCAAAACTGTGACATCTGATGTTCATCTTTTGTTCTCTGCAATGTTGGTATAATACCAACAAGCACTTTGGCCTCAGCTTGATTTTAAAGATCCATTGAAATATTACCTAAACTGAAAAATATTGAATGCTGTGAACTCTTCTCTAAACAGTTCAACATAGTTGTATCAGAGTAAATTATTATAGCTAAAACCTTATTTTCGAATGGTATATGTTGTTGTGCATGACCCCATCAGTTGGAATTATAAAACTCAGAGAATAACCTTTCTTGGCATCTCCAAAAAGCAGAAATATTGATATAAAGTTTAGATTTTTATAGAGATAGTATGCAAAATTAATGAATCTTTAATTTATATTTGGATTAGGTGCTGTAAAAAAGGAACAAATTAACAATTTTTTTCAAAATTTTTTTTTTGAATTTAACTAATTAAAATTAACTTATAATATTTTTTATTTAAGAAATAAATAATAATATATTAATAAAATTTAGCAGTATTTTTTTTAAATTTTGTGTATACTTATTTGTTTTAATATAAATTTTATAATATATAATCAATTTTTCAAACTTGTTTTGTTAATTTGGTTTATTTTCTTAGCACCTAACCTATTTAATATCCATATATACCTCACTCGATTTCAATTATGATTATACAATCATATATTAATAGATTATACAATATACTTTATTGTATATATAATACTGTAAAAGCCAGGTTCAGCTTTGATAACAAAACTATATGACAAACATTTATTAGTTGCTATAGGTATGATCAAAATCGAAGAGGTTTATGATATAGTTATATTATGATAAAACCTATGATTATAGTTATTTCTGTATTTAAGAACTTTACCTCAACTAATATGTAAACTTCTTGATAATCAAAAATACAGTTTTCTGCAATTTCTTAATTTTGCAAAATTTCTTTAACCTTAAAATAATTGGCCTATACTTAAATGAATATACTTGGTCTTTTATTTATGCAACAGGAGTTGAAAAAAACCTAGTATAATTCTTCTTCAATTTATCTAAGAAAAGAAGACCATTTTTTATTGATCAGGAAAGTAATTTTTCTGAAATTTGACTGTATTTTTTTATAAATTTTAATATAACATCACTGGTCATATAAGAAAGTTTATATTTGATTACCTAATTTTAAAGAGAAGCATTATATAAATACCAGATTTCTAATTAGCAATACATCTATAGCATCTTCATGACAAAACAGGTTCAAAAAAAAACAAAAAAAAAACAATTAAATTGACAAATATAATAATTATGATGTTTATAAAATCTTAGTATGCAGCACTTGGAAAGTCTAAACTATCTATTTTATTATTGTTACTATATTCACTATCATAACTCTGAAATTCATCAGATTCATTAGATATTGGGTTAAATTCATTTATAACTTTCTGGTCATTGTATACTAGATTCGATTTATCAATGATGCTTTGAGTATTAAATATCATGTTAGATTCATTAATCCTTCTTGATTGTCAAATATCAAGTCATCATCTTGTCTACTTATAATATTTAATTCATTAGACCTATTAGTATCTATACTGGAGCCAGTTTTACTTTCAACATAATAGTTATTTTGTCTTCTTTTAATATCCAATTCATCAGAACTATAAATATTTACATTAATATTCAATTTATCAGAACTATAGGTATTCATACTAATGTCAGTTTCATTTTCAACTTAATAGTGATTTTTATGAACCTTTTTGTATATTTTTAAGTCTAATTAGATAGCCAAACTTTTTACCGCACACCACAAATAAACATAAAAATATCTATAAAAAAAATAATAATAATTAAAAAAAACTCAAACTCAAAAAAAAGTTTAAATTAAATTACAAATATTTATGTTTTTATATCCTAATCATAGCAGCTTACTGCAATACAAAGAGATCTTAGACCTGCACATTATTGGGTATTTTGTTCTGTTACAAAGCAAATAATTAAATTTTTTCGATTTTATAATGTATTTTAATTGCACAATCAATCTTGTACTCTTTAATTTAATATTCAAAATCATAATCACAACTAAAATTAAATATTTTAAATTAGTATATAATAAAAAATAATAAAGTTTTATTAAAATACAATGATTGATTGAATATTCTGTTATATTATACAAGCTATTTTGCATAAATACTATTTTTGCTATTTACTATTCTTTACTGTTTTTTACTACTCTTTACTACTCTTTACTACTCTTTACTACTCTTTACTACTCTTTATTACTATTATTTGATATTATATAATTAATATTTAAACAATTCTTAAAAGTCAAAGCACTGGTTATTATAATTTTTTAAATTATGCCTTCTAAGAGTTGAAAACAGAAACTTGAACTTCAACAAAACAAAGTTAATTTAGTAATTATTAAATTTTTAATTTTTAAATAATTACCAAATTTCTAAGAAGCTTGTTTTTGTTTCAGATATTAAATGCTCTAAGATCTGGTCCATCTACTTCTATTATAAAGCCATAAAATGCAAGTAAACCTACTACTCAACTTCTTAATATTAACATCAATAATATTGATAACAATACTCAAAACTCTTCTCATGAAATTAATTTAGTAATTGTTAAATTTTGAACTTTTGAATAATTAATAAATTTTCTAAACTTACTTTATTTTAGGCATTAGATGCTTTAAGATCTGGTCTATCTACTTCTATTATAAAGAAGTCATGAAATGCAAGTAAACATACTACTTAGCCTATATATGTTAACAATGAAGGCATTAATGACAATACTCAAAACTCGTCTTATAAAATTGTTGAAAGTCCACCTCGATCTTCTCTCAATAAGTTTTTTGCTAATAAGTTAGAAAATTTGTCAGTTGATGCAAAAAATAATCAGTCTTAGAAATGTAACAACAATTTATATGAGTTTTATTATCACTTTTAAGGCTAGTATCTTGCTTATACTTATATAATTTTAAATTACAAGTACTAACTCTGAACTGAAATAGCTTCAACTGAAGAAAATAAATTAATAAAATTAATATTAGAAATGACTAACAAGTACTTATACAAAATATATTAATTATAGAAAAACAAGACACTCTTGAGAGTATAGTTATTTAGTTAGCCAATAATGTCAAAACTTTACAATCTTTGCATAAAAATTTCAAGTTTAATGTGAGAGGCCATGATAATAAATGGTGGCAGGTATATGTAATACATATTCAAATTATACCAACAATGCTAGTTCATAGGATCAAATTTTTGTTCATATAGTTGAGTATCCAATAAAGAGTTAAAATCAAGTAAGTACTAAAAAAGGTTCACTTATTTTGAAAAATGTGTTGATTATAAATATATTCTCTTTATATATTTTGTTAAATTATACTTAATAACTTAATAGCTCTAACATCAACCTAAGCTCTATCTTTATATTCAATTATATGAAGAAAGAAATTAATTCTATATTATTAATAGCAGTTTTTTTAGTTCTAGCATTGCCAATAATCAAGAGCATAGTCAATGACCTTCTGACTTCAATCTTATTGTCATTAATTATTCTACTAATTATCTGATATATTAACTTTGGTGTTATATATTAATCAAATCAAGTTTTAGTATAGGTTAGCTTATCTTTATTATTGGCAATGCTGAGGCTTTTCAAGTTTTCAACTTTATTTAAACCTGAATTTGTATTATGTAATCATTTTATATATTGAGTGAGTGATGAGTATATTAGTAAGATTTTTATTAATCATTGGCTAAATTTTTATTAATACTGACTTGGTTGACCAGATTCTTGACAAACACTATCATCTGATTTTATAAAATTACTTATTAAAATTTTTTTATTAAATTTAAAAAGAAGTAATAGAAGTTATCAAGAAAGCTATAGATAATTGGCTTTATTTCAATGATAAAATATATGAACAGACTATTCGAAAAGAACTTGAGATTTTTTGTTCTGATAAAATGGATCAATATAAGAAAGATTCCAAATGGGAGATATTGTTTACTAAGATCGAAAATTCAGTAATTGATTTATTATATTTATTATATATATATATTTTTTAAAGCCATATAGTGTGCAAATATAATTTTTTTAATAATTTTAACCTAAATTTAATTATAGATTAGTACTGAATCTTGTAAATATTACAGTGCTTTATTTGGATCTTTTCAATATGCTATATTTAATTACATTTTTAAAAGAAGAGTATTACTGACTATTAATTTGTAAAGTTCAGAATCTGAGATAATTATTTGGAAAGCAAGTAAAGAAGTCCAATAGTGTTTAGAAAACTTGGATAGTACTATTGAAAAAAAAGATAGATGTATTTTCAGATAGTTGCCAAGAAAATATTTCGGCTAACAGCCAACTAAAAATCAATATGCTGTAATATAAGCTATATTACATAACTTGTTTAATACTGAAAGCATCAAGATTAAATTTGATGAAAGATATCTAACATAAAAATTGAGTTCTTTCTTGGTAAATATCTATTTCTTGTGCATATATAAGTATTGTTATATCATTGTGATATTAGATATTACTTATTATTATATTTTTTTTTAGTTTTATGCTTTATATTTGCAATGTTTTATCAGTAATATAACCAGAATAATTTATTTTATTCATACTATAATATAATTTATAGCAGAACAATAGTAAAAAGAATCAAGAAGCTACTGAGTCAAATGCATCTGATAGTGAATAAGTGCTATGCTGCTATATTTATAAATCATTTTTAATATTTATAGTTTGTATTAATTGTATACAGAAGTAGTATCTAAGGAAATATTTAAAGTTTATTTAATTGTGAATATATAATTTATATAAATTTATTTTATCAAATTTAAATAAACATTATTTATATTTCTATATAAATCTATATAATCTTTATATAATTATTAATTTTATAAATAAAATTTTTTATAATTCTATATAAATATATAAATAAATTTTATATAATATTGGTTTGTTAAAATTTAAATAAATATTAAATAAATGTTATTTATAATTTTATACAAGTAGATAAATATATTTTATATAAATATTAGATTTATTAAATTTTAAATAACTATCATATAAAAATTATTTATAACTTTATTTAATTGTATAAATAAATTTTAGATAATTGTTATTTTGGTTAAATTTTAATTAATATCTAAATAACTTTTATTTAGTTTTTAAAAAAATTTACTTATTATTATATTCATATATAAATTGTTATTATGTAAGTCTACATTGGGTTTATAGATCTATGTATAATTTCTAAATAAAATATACATAAAATATTTATATAACTCTACATAAAAACAACTTTGTAATGTTGTAGCAAAGGACCATGAATATAATAACAAGACTTAATATAAAGAGCAGGCAATAGTATTCTCTACAGTTGTGTAAGCTAAGCTTAAAATAATAAGCAATTTTGTAGAAGACATTACTAATACAATCTCTATTTTCAATACTTTAACTCCTACAGAGATCCACTACACTCTTCTAAAATACCTTTCAAATTTTTAGGTTGTTGGTTCACTTTGGACAACAAACAATCTAAACAATCAAAACTACTTATCTCTGAATCTTCTAAATTAATTCAAATCGCTAAAACCAAACATATCACTGACTCACATACTTGCTATATTATTAATATAGTAATTATTCCCACTCTTAAATACTGACTTCAAAATATTGTAATCAATCAATCAACTTGTAACAAAATTTTTACTCAGCATATTGGCCTTGTTAAACTTAAAGCCAAACTTTGCTATATAATACATTCTAGTACCCTCTTACATTCACAAATTTATAACATCAAACATATTTGGGACATCTAATTACAACACTATATTTCTAATCTTCTCAAATAACTTAATAATCCTAGCTTATTAGACACATCTACTCATATTTGAATTCAACAATTACAAAACAATCTCTGGTCTCTAATCAGTATTTTCTCTCATTCCAATCCAATTATTGATGATCCTAACTGCTTAACTACAAACTTTAAAATTGTACAGCTTATTAAACATATTTGTTGGACATTCTTAATTAATTCAACTTATAACATTCCTTACACTTTACATAATGGAACTATCTCTCCGAAATCTCTTCTCTCCTCTCATCCTAAATACCTGTCTTCAAAAAACAACTTAGATACCATAAACTCCTCTTTCTCAACTAGCATACCACCTATGACAATTTATATTTATTACATTGGCATTATATTTCTTCCAAACTAAACAAACTCTCTAAAGGTGTTATACCTCAATGGTTTACTACTCTTAAGAATATTACTACTAGTCATTCCTATCAACATATATTATATGATCATTTTAATCTACCTTAATCAAACTACTTTTTCTATACTACTAGTCACTTCAACTTTAATACCAAGCTCTGGTTACTTACTGTTCTCAATAATCAAATTATTGTTGACAAGGCTAGAAGGCATAACAGCCCTACAGGCCTTATTCTTATCACTCACTGGCACTGTTCATTCCAGTCACAGTTTACTAATCCTTATTCTACTTCTCCTTCTACTACTACTATATGCTTAGAATGCTATCTTAATTTTAATACAATTGCTAACAAATGCACCATCTTTATTCCTACAAATTTGGCTACTAAATTACTTTGTTGTATTAATTCTGACAAAACTCTTAATCTACATGCCAACTTCCTTGATATTGC